ATTGCAGCACAAGCCAGAATTAAAGCAATTGCAGCAGTTACTGAACCCAATTTAAAGCACAAGGTCTTCAGCCTGTTCCCAGATAAGCTTTAGTTGAATGAAAAATTCAGAGAGAATCTTTGATAATAAATCATATAAGGCCAACAGTTTATCTTGATCCTCTATGATTTCAGAACGGGTCTCTTCTTTGAATTCCAATACTTGTAAATCTTTCTCAAGCTTATTCTATCATTATACAGGAAATAATTTTGCAGCATTGACATTTAAAAAAATGTACAGCAGAGTTTCTTGCAATTAAATTAAACAATAGCAGGTAATTCTACAGGAGTTGGTGCAAGAAAAATAAAAACAAACAGAATTTCCTAGTGGAACCGTTAAATCCTCTGGATTATCCTGACCAGCTCGACGCCATAATAACCCGAGGGTAATTGGTAATTTCGGTAGTTACCCAGAAGCTCAATAAACTTCACCATACCATGTACTTGACCAATCTCCCGAATCTGCTTCAAAAGGAAAGAAAAAAATAGAAGGAAACCATTTTATTATTTCGAGGAAAGGGACAAAAATAACCAAGGGAGTCAAGGTTGGCCAAAGAACCCTATTCGACAGATAGTAAATACTTCGACGATATCGTCAGCCAGCGTGTGATACGATCTACCTTCCCACGGTCATAAATTAATCCAAAATTTATTGGAAAATTCAGTCCTTCTCGGTTTACTATAGTTTTCCTCTTTCCGACTTCAAATCGGCAAAAATTGAGCCGATTTTCACTTTAAAGATGCCAAAGATACATTTTTTTTTGCACCGAGTCGTCGAAATAAAATGACAGTTCGGCTAAGATGTAAACCTACACGAATTCTTTTTTTTTTCTTTTCTTTTTTTTTTTTTTGCGCATGACTCTTTAGATTTAAAATCGGAAACGCTTTATACAGAGTAAAAAGGAATAAAATCTTCCTACACGAAATTAAATTCAGCCATTTATTTAAAACGGGGCATTTTATGTCGTATCATGTATCATGAATATTTTTCAAAACTATATTATTGTCAGTGTCTGCGCTGAATTATCAAAATAGAAACTTGAATATTACGCGAAATGTTTGACAGAAATTCTTTAAAAATCGAAAATAATTGAGAATGAATCGAATTCATGCTCAAATTTCAATTCCGGAGTCTCATGTTTTTTGAAATATTGCAGTTTTTCAATCGCTCAAAACGGAAAGCTGGTCTTACTCGGGGAGAGAATTTTATAAAATTTAAAGGAGGAAAATACTGAGGCGCGTGTCTCACTCTCGAGGGCGCAGTATTTAATTGACAGTATTTAACACAGTCAAACCCCGATAAGACGCCATCATTTGTCTAGAGCAATTTTGGCGGTTTAAAGAGGTTGGCGGTTTATTGAATATTCAATTTTAATTATTTGATCGAAAATACTCGATTTTCCTCCAAAAGTCATAGAGATACAGGTTATGTGAGAAACTTCAGCAATTTTCCAAAGAGTATTTCTGTGATCCATGGATTACTCTTTCAGAAAGTAAGTTTTGCTGCATCAATTTATTCAAATTTTTTGAGATTAGGTCAATATAATTTTCAACAAAATGATCATTATTTTTATCGTTTCGTACAAATACAAGATCCTTGGCAGAAATTATAATTATAACGCTATGTTGGCGTTGTAACAAAGACAAAAATAATTGGAAACAGCACTTTTGTTTCATCATTAATGCTGGCGTTTGGCGTCTTATCAAGGTTTTCTATATAGAATTCAACATGGAGGAGATTTGTTTCATTTAAAATTGTTGGCGGTTGGCAAGGGTGGCACTTTATTGGGGGGCGTCTTAACGGGGTTTGACTGTACTTGATTAAGTATACAGTACATATACAGCGCTGTAAAAATTGTAAAAAAAAAAAACTCAAACTTTTGGAATCTCCGCGCGTGAAGAAATTCCCTTGTTAGTCTATGGTTTGTGTGATGTTCACAGAGTTCATTTTCGAATCTTCCGTCAAATCACCCGTTTTTGTTGCGACTTGAGACACATTCAGGCTTCCTACACCGGCTCAAAAAGAAAACCACTCACACCCCACCCTCCCATCACTCCCCAACTAAACTAAAATAAAATAAAAAGTTAAACAAGTTAGTTGAGCTTTAAAAAAAATAGACAACGGCTCTTCAGGCACTGTTACACCCGAAAGGCGATACATCCCCAATTCGGCGTCACGGTCACGGTCTTCCTGCCCTTCAACCTCAATGAACTCGAAGAAGAAAACAAGGCTTGGGAATAAGGAAGACAAGAACAACAAGAACAACAAAAAAAGAAGAAGAAGCCATCAAAGTTCTTGTAAAAAAAAGTCCTTCCGAAAACCAGTGGGGTTGCTGAAGCGTCACGGGTTCAATGAAGGAAAACGAACACGCTTCTTTATAGCAGCTTTCAGTGAACACGGAGACATTATTTGAAACGCGATAGCAGGGAATTTCAGAGCCAGAAAAAAGGACACTTGAATTTCCACTGCTTTCGTACGGTAGTGAAACATCCCTAACTTTAAAGGTGGTAACTCGCAAAATTTGACCATCCCGAAATTCATCAGTTGAATTTTCAGGGAAGTTGACTCACAATTTGACCCTAGCCCCACGATTTGACCAGCTTTGGACGTTCTTTTTGCGTTTTTGTATTGATATATATATTTTTTTTAATGTTGCAAAGTGTTTCGCAATTTGACTGCTTTGCAGTATGACCCTGGTTTGGCAATTGATTAGGGTTGAATTACAAAGTACTACTACCTGCATAGATGAACCTTGATAACTCCAACCTCCCTAAGTCAAATTTTTTTAGGGTCCCCATCTGAATCCCCTTAGAAACAATGCATTAATAAAAGCCTCTCTAAGTGAAAGGCTTTCCCCCTCAAACCACTATAAGTCAAATTTTCTGTTGCCTGTTGGCTACTATTTTCTTGACGCAAGAAAAAAAAATTAAAAACCGAAATTGATATGTTGTAAAAGGAAGCGGAAGACTTAATTGGGCAATATATTCCAGCCACTTACAAGTTCAGTGCCCTTTCAACTTATTTAAGAATCAATTTATGCCCCAGAATATCACCATTCAAAATTTTGGGAAATTTTTCTATGTTCCCCAGAACTATGGCTTTGTATTGTAGCTAAAACCTATATAATTCAAAACCTCCCCAGGTACAATTTCCTTCTTGCTCCCTTGAAATTTGACTTACAGAGGTTTGACTTATATAGTTGTATAGTTGAACCTCAAGAACTCAAACCTCCCAAAGTTGAATACCCCCCTGAGTCAAATTTTTTTCAGGTCCCTGTCTGAATCCCCTCAGAAACAATGCATTAAAAACCCTCCCTAAGTCAAAGGCTTTCCTCTCAAACCTCTATAAGTCAAATTTCCATTTGCCTGTTTGCTATTATTTTCTTGACACAAGAAATAAAAAAAACCATGAAAACAGAAATATATGTGTTTTGAAAGGAAGTGAAAGACTTAATTGGGCAATTGAACCCCTGGCTCCAATTTCAGCATACTTTCAACTCATTCAAGAACCAATTTAAGCCCCAGAATATCACCGATCATAATTTTGGGCAATTTTTCTATGTTTCTCAGAACAAAATAACTTTGTATTTTAGCTCAAAACTCTATGATACAAAGCCTCCCTAAGTCAAAATCTCCTCAAGTGGATTTTTTTTGCTGGTCCCTTGAAATTTTATTTAATGAGGTTCAACTTATATATAGTTGAACCTTAATAACTCAAACCCTCTAATACTCCCCTAAGTTGTATTTTTTTTGTCCCTGTCTGAGTTCCCTGGGAAACAAGGCATTAGAAACCTTCCCATCAAACCTCTATAAGTCAAATTTCCATTTGCCTGTTGGGTATTATTTTCTTGACACAAGAAAGAAAAAAACCCTGAAAACAGAAATATATGTGTTTTGAAAGGAAGTGAAAGACTTTATAGAGCAAATGAAACCCTGCCTCAAAGTTTGACATTCTTTCAACTCAATCAAAAAGCAATTTAAGCCCCAGAATATCACCAATCACCATTTTGGGAAATTTTTCCAAGTTTCCCAGAACGAAAGGGCTTTGTATTGTAGCTCAAACCTCTATAATTCAAAACCTCCCCAAGCCAAATTTTTTGCTGGTCCCTTGAAATTTCACTTAGAGAGGGTTAAATATATCCGTACAGTTAATTGGTGCAATTCCGGATTAATTGACGACCTCAATTACTTGAATAATACAGCACACGCATAAATGAATGAAATACTTTCGCACAAAACCTTGGCCGACGGCTTTAAAATGCAATTCTATCTTATATCTCTGAAAACTTCCTGTTTGACTAAACTAACTGTTCACAGGTATTCGCTATTTTCAAAAAAAAACAACCGTCAAGTGTCATCAAATAGTTTCGAAAGTCTGACAACACAAGACACCATAAAATAATATGACCTCAACTTTTGTGTTTTCACCTTCAAACCGTGAGCACTCAAAATTAATGAAACACTCGCGCACAAAAACCTCAGTCGACGGTTTCAACAAATCAATTCAATTTGATGAATAGTCTGAAAACTTCCAGATGACTTCAAATAATGGTTCACTGGTAATCAAAATATTACTTCATTCGGAGACAACTTCCAAAAATAGATAAATTAAACTGTGCCAAGTACCATAAAATAAATACACTGTAATCTATTCTTCTAGTTATTATCCACTAAATAACATCTTCTGGCGAAATAATTTATAACAATAAATTGTTATGAACAAAATATTTAAATATTGTAATTTTGTAAATGAAAATTTAATAAACCTGTCGGGATTTAAAAAAAAAGTAAGCTTCTGAATTCTTCTCCAGACTCATCATCCCTACATATACTGTACAGCATTTTGGAATTTCTCCAAATATTTTTGTGTTCTCAATGATTTTCCTACGAAATTGACAAGAAAAAAAAACAATCAAAATTAAAGAAAGAGAGAGAGGTCCACTTCTTTCTTTTAAATTTTTTTCAAAGCGCAAGAGAGAAAGAAACAAAAAAAGACTCTTGCCTGACAGGTGGCGCTGCAGGTCGTCTGGTGAATGGTCTCCTCGTGGAACCGTCGTGGTCCTCACTCAACAATCCATCACCACCACCACCACCAAGACCCGGTCGTTGCACGAGGCCCGGAGGCGGCTGCTGTTGCGGCGACCCCGGCCGCCTCCGCTTATTGTTGTTCTCCTGGCCCAGGATCTCCGTGGCCTCATCCGGCGGCAAAGGCCGGATGAACCCGGTGCCGATCCCGATCCCGGGCGCCAATTCGGGTTCCACGACCAACGGCGGACTGTTGAAGTCGTTGCGAACCACGGTCTGTTGCACGGGGTCTCGGTAAGTGCTGCTCGTCTCTTCCACTCCAGTGGGCAACAGGTTGAAGTAGGTTTTGCGTCCGTCGATGGACACGAAGTCGCCGCCGCCGTTTTTCTCGATCGGCGACGCGATGATGTCGCCGCCGTGGGCCCCTGGAAATTAAAACGAAAAATATTTATAAATATATTTATGTATATCAGTGAGACCCCCACATGCGGAAACCTCGACCTGCGGACAACTCGACATACAGGGACACTTATTTTCCCAGAAAAAATTAATCAAAAAAGCCCCACATGAGGACACTGACTCGACATAGGGACATTTTGTGATAAAATTGAAAATACATGTCAGGCCAAATTGTAAAAAAAAAAAAGATATTTCCAACCCTAAAATTGATGCAAGAAAAGTTCTTGGGCATTTCTCTCACCAATTTACCATCCATTCAGCTAATTTTAAAAAATTACCTCCAGCATTGAGGGACTTCCTTTTCTTTTTTTCACTCGAATGTTATTTTTACAGAGAATGCCAAAATGTATATGTACTGTACAGAGATACACTATTCAATGCTCCAAATGTAATTATTGAGGTGTAAATTCACTCACTAATTCAAATTCAAGTGGCAAAACATTTTTTGGGGAATTCTGAAGAATATTTCTTCCATAAAACACCAATTCAAAATTATATAATGTAAGTCTATGGGAAAACATGACTTGACTTGAGGACAATTCAACTTAGGGACACTCTTAATGCACCAATTATGTCCGCATCTTTGGGTCTCACTGTATATGTAGCATTCCATACAGATAGAAATGAGCTTAAGAAAAAATCTACAAGTATTGGAATTCAATGAAGAGACCCTTTCTGAAATCATAGGGGATCAAGATAAATTGTTGTCCCTTACATGATTACTCATCAAAGATTCTCTCTAATTTGTTCATTCAACTAAACCTTATCTGGGAACACGCTGAAGACCTTGTGCTTTAAATTGGGTTCAGTAACTGCTGGAATTGCTTTAATTCTGGCTTATGCTGCAATTCTTGTTACTGATATGTTGTTTTCAATTTCAGGGAACAAAGCGGGTGTACGCATACACAGCAGTTGTGCAATTGTACATTGTGGAATGTATTTTCTTTTATTTTAGTATCCATATGCAGCTTTCATTTCTGTGTTTCCCATTCTGAAGTGATTGAATACCTTTGAATGGATTTGGGTTGGGTGGGGATGAGGGGGATTCGGATGTGGGAATGTTGATTGAACTTTGTGAACGCTGAAAAGCATAAAATGAAGCTTTCTGTTCATTCATTCATATAATGTATTTATATAAAAAGGGGGAAAGATAAACATTCACGTTTTTCTTCAGAGGCGCAAATTAAGAGAGACAATTAATTTAATTTTCCTGTGATTTTTCCTCAAATTTTTCCTTTAAATTTTTTAAGCGATAAAAATTATCTGAAAAAAAACGGAAGACCTTGAGCGTTAATTTTTGCTCATTAATTTCCTTGAGCTGTGTATTTTAGTCATCCGAACATAAATAAAGACTGCAACTGAGGATTCATGCATCTGTATGTGCTGTGATGTTCTTTTGGTATAATACCGTACTCATATAGTGAATTATTATTTTTTCTTCTGATATGCCGGAATGTATTTGAATGAATTTGGGGAGTGGAAAATTTTTTTTGAACCTTGTGAACGCTGGCAAGCAGCAAATAAAGCGTGTCTATCAATCCATCAATTACATTTTTGTTTGACACGGTGGAATGCGGAAATTCGGTTTGATTGATCATTGTTCGATTCCTCGTTTGACGAAGGTTGTCCCAGTTGGACATGACTTCTGACATTTTTCGAGTAGGCGTAATTGTAAAAAAAAAAATAAAATCATGACATAACCAGGATTCACAATTTTTTTTTTTGGCGTTTTAAAAAGGGTTTTTTCAATTTACTGCATGATGATAAGTGAAAACTTTCCAGTTTACAGCTAGAGTTCCTCACCTATGTCAAAAGGGGGGCTGTGCAAAAATTTTGCCACGCTAGCTGAGAAATTGATTCCAGATTGCCGGATTTCCGGTATAATTGGTTCCCACAATTTCACAAGCGAATAATTCCTCCGATACTTGAAAATTGAGCGAATTTCCTGGATTTGCTACAAAATGATCGTTCGTTCGTATTCATTCTCATTGGTCTCGATTGCTTTTTATTAAATCAAGTTCCTTTTTACAATTAAGAGAAATCGTTGAGGAATTCTGTTCCAAAAAAATTTAAATTTTTTGCTTATTTTTCATTTTATTCATGCGAATTCGTTTTCTTCAAGGTTTTCCACTCATCTTTTATTCACAGTTTCTAGAGAAAAAAGCTGGCCGATATTTTGCGAAGTCATCCGAAAGCATTGATGAAAATATCCCCCAAAGATGCGCAAGGAAGTACGTAAAGTACTGCGCAATTACTTTTCGAGGTCTGAGCGATTTTCCAAGCATGAATAAAAATTTTAAATCCAAATACGGTACTACAGTATATTCGTTTCCATCCCAAGAATTTCACGAATTCCCGATGCTTTCATGAGGCACTTGTGTTTATCGGTGCTCGATGAGAAATATGTTTCCAAGGAGAAAGTCAAGGAAGGAAGAAAGTATCGATCTGGGTCGAACAATTCCCTTTTCAAGCATAAGTGCAATTTTATAGCGAGAGAATGGGAAAAGTATTTCTACAACGCTGAAATTCACGGAATTTCATGCGCTTTCAAGAAAACGCACGGTGTCCAGAATTTTTTTTTCTCTTTGGTCAATAACAACAACAAAAATTCCTCAGACGAGCGATAAATACAGGTATTTGTTTCATGAAAGCATATAGAAAATCACAGAAAAATCCCTTTTGTTCTCGGCGAATTAAAAAAAACTTACGCGTGGAGATTTGTTCTTTGGAAATCTTTTAATTTTTTTTTTACCAAGGAGATATATATATATATATATATATATATATATTTATTCGAAACGTCTAAAACCTAAGGGAAGTAACATTGTCCTGCAAGAAATATTTTTCAAATAAATTTCCTGTTTGATTCTACGACCCGCAAAGAATCTTGCGAAATCTTTTTTTTTTTTTTTGCTGAGTCCGGGAGAAATGATAACTTTCGAGCTAAAAATCTTTAAAAAAAATCTAACTTCCTGTAGAAATATTATTACTTTTTTGGAGTGGCACGGATACAATTTCATGCCCTAAATAAATATCCCAATCAAATGAAATTTCTCATTGTTCTGAGGGGTTTTTGCCTTTCACACTTTGGTTAAGTTCTTCCTTGTTCGCGTTCCCCGCAAAGAAACACGCAGAAATTTTTTTAGACAATAGAGATTACCAAACTTCTTTAAGAAAGAAATAACAAGGAAGTGGTATTTGATTTGAACAAGTATTTCCTCGACATGAGTAGATACAGTATTTCATAATAAAAAGGAAATTCCTGCGCCACGACAACGACTGAAAATCCTCTCTTTCTTTCAGTAAATACCTTGCGAACTTTCATGAATTACAAGAGAATATCTGGAAAATTAAATACCGTAACGTATTACGAAATATATTTCTTGCATTTTCTGCAGCCTTGTCCCTCTTATGTGGAAACCGGAAAATCGAGCATTAGCAACACTGAAACGAATTGATTTCAAAGCATGGAGTTAATCGATTTTTGAGCCGAATGATGCATTCGTGTTACATCACCGCACACCGCCTCTTTCTTCTTCTTATTAATTTTTCGTTTCTCTTATTTTAAAGGTCAATTCGAGAATTTTTTTTCTTTTAAAAGAAAAATTATTTCTTCGCAAAGGATTGGCCACTTTGACAACTGGAATACCGTCAGCAAAAACATGACCATACACATATCTTGTCATCTAATTACAACCCAGAGTCATTTGAGTCATAAAAAAAATGATTCAACCAATGTGAGATTAGAAGCACTAAAATAATTTTAAAATGATAAATACCGTAACTGAATAACATTGGACGTTGCTTACTCAAACGTTCCACTGTCAAATCTCTGTTCAGTCTTTGTATGAAATTTCTCAAGATTTCCTAGTGGGATTAAGTGAATAATTGAGCAAATGTCCCCCCTTAATTCTCATTTATCCAGCGGATTTTAAGGTCCAGAATATCACCAATTTCACATTCAGGTAATTCTTATTTTTTTCCCCAGCAACAATGCTTCTTTCCCTAAATAAAAACTTGCTGGATGAACAATTTTTTGTAGGTCCCTCTGACCTCAACTTGAGAGGTTTGACTTTATTTTCTAAAAGGTTGGATAAGGTTTGTTGAAATCATAGTGGCATTCTTTCTAAGGGTTGCCTCCAGATCTTCCAAGGCAATTCCGCCATTTTCATTTCAAGAATTCTGAGGGGAAAGCTGGGCCACAACAAACAAAAACTCTGCAGGGAGGGCGCCTCATCTTTCGAGTGGAGACCAAAACTCTGCTATGGTGAATTTTTCAAAACATTAAAACAAATTGTCAAACAGGACTGATTTTGGGGGGGGGGGGCAAAGAATATGTTCTCCCTAAAGAATATATTTGTTTCAGCTCAATTCTATGACACCTTTTGAATGATTGCACAAACTTTTGTCAAGACCCTTGTATACCTTCTCAGGTATCTAGTGTAAGGGATAGATGTCACCAGAGGCATCATCCCATTACTTCACATTTGTTCCACATTGGAATTCCCTGAGCAGAATTCCAATGTCATCCATTTTCCCTAATTAATCTACACAGTCTCACCTCAGTCCTTGTTGCGTGCGGAGCTGCTAATTGTTTGTTTGTTCAGTGTTTCAATTAATTCTTATTCATTGAAGTATTTGTGCATCACCAGAGCACCTTCTCTTCTTATGTCCAGCGTTTCATATGGATATAAATCAGCTTAAGAAAGATTTAAAATTACTGAAATTCCATGAAGAGACATTTTCTGAAATCTTAAAGGATCACAACTAAAACTCATACAGAAGCAGGCTGAAGACCTTGCGCTTTAAATAAACTTTTACTGCTGCTTTGTCTTCAATATTGGGGGATGGGTGGGTGTATGCATACCTGTTCGATGTCCAGATTCATTTTGTGCAGTGTGTTCTCTTTTGTTTTTGTCATTGATTTGTGCTTTGTTTCATGCTTTGAAGTGATTGAATGTCTTTGAGGGGAGTTGGGTTGGGTGGGGAGGGGGTTTGGATGCGGGAGTTTTGGTTGTACCTTGTGAACGCTTAAAAGTGGCAAATAAAGTGTTCTGTTCCTTCATTCAAGAAAATGTAAAAAAATAACCAAAAATAAAGAAGCTTTGAATAAAGCATGTGACAATAAATGAAAATAAGCAATAGTATAATACCCTAAAGACAAAGATAATATTATTAAGCCTAACTGCCTCAAGGTAGAAAGAGCAATAATTTTTTAAAATCTATCTCAAATGAAGCACTTAAAGTAGACATTAATAAAGTGAATAAACCAGAGATTATTAAGAAAAAGACAAATGAAAGCGTTCTGTTCATTCATTCATTCCAAGTATACATTGATTCTTATTCTTTGGAAGCCTTACCAAAGGCTTCCCTGCCGTGTTCCCCGGCAGATCGTTGGTCTTATTCATTCCTAATTATTTGTTGTTGATTCTTAATATCGTTTTATTCTTTGTGGTGGCTCCTGCCCCACATCTAGGGACGTCGGAGGTATTTTTCATCATACACGATGATTCTCCTGAAATGGATTCAATATAAACTCACCAAAGTCATGGCCGCCACTGCCGAATCCCTGATTCGCCGACACAGTCACGTCAAACACGTCCCCCGGTGCCACTGCTGCTGGGGACCTTAAAGTTTCACTCGCCGTGATGATATCCACCATCACTGGTCTGCTCGGCGAGATCATCACGTCTTCGTCATCAACCACGACACCAGGCACCAAACCCGGGTCCCTTTCATCATCATCATCCACTATCTTCCAGCGGGAACCACTGGTGCTGGTTTCCTTTCGACCACCACCACCACCACTGATACTCGACACTGTCTGCGTGGCGACATACACGGGACGACCACCGCCACCGGGCCTGTGACTCGTACTCGTCATCACGTAGTCGTCTTCCGAGGGCTCCAGCACAACTTCCGTCTCTGGTTCCGGGATCTCGGGTTGCGTCGTCGGCACAACTGGCTTGAAAGTCGTCGTCGACGTCGTCGTCGTCGTCGTTGTTGTGGTTGAACTACTACTGCTAGTGGAAACCGGTCGTTGTAATGGGATGAGATTCCCTGGGGGACGCTGCAAGGGCACGAGTTGCTCAGGGATCGGGACGCCGCTCGTGAACGGCGGCGGGATGGCGGAGTCGTCGGGGAATCTCACTTTGCCGCCGGAATTTTGTGGCGGCAGAGGCGCAGGACCAGGAGGAGGAGGAGGAGGACGCCGTGTCGGTCGCTGCTGGGGGTTGGGATGGGGATGCAAATGATGTTGTTGTTGTTGGTGTGGTGGGGGTTGTCGAGACGGGGGACGCAGGTTACTCGAGATCAGGCCCGGGGGGATCGAAGGCGGCAGTTCGGACAGCGACGGCGGTCCTCGGTTGTTGATTCGGGACGACCCCGGGTCGTCGCCGTTGCCGTTGGTGTGTTTCCGTCGCTCTGGTTCCGCCACCTATTTTTTAATGTATCATTTAAAATATAAATACAAAAAAAAAATTCGGTGACGCTTTATGGTTGTTACCTGGGGCACAAGTAAAAAAATTTCCTTTAAAAATATTTTTCAAATAAATACGCTCTGGTTCCGTCACCTATATTTTTTAAATTTATCATTTTAAAAATAAATACAAAACATTAATGGGGGACGCTTCATGGTTGTTACCTGGGGCTGAAGTAGCAAATTTTTCCTTTGAAAATATTTTTTTTAAATAAATACGCTCTGGTTCTGCCAACTATTTTTCTTAAATTTATCATTTGAAAAACAAATTTAAAAAATTAATGGGGGACGCTTTATGGTTGTTACCTGTGGCACAAGTAGGAAACTTTTCCTTTAAAATTAAAAAAATAAATAAATATAGTACATTGAGACCCCAACATTTGGACACCTCGACATTTGGGCAATTCGACATTTGTAAATTTATTTTTCAATAAAAAGGGCATAAAAAAGGCCCAGCATATGGACACTGACTCGACATGAAGACATTGCATGATACAATTGCCAAAAAATTTAACGAAAATTGACTTTTATTAGACTTGATTGCAAGAAACATATATTTCCAACCCTAAGATTCATGCAAGACAAATTCTTTGTCATTCCCCCATCATTTTCCCATCCATTTAGCTAATTTAAAAAATCACCTATTGCATAGAGGGACTTCCTTCTCTCTTTGTGACTTGAATGTTATTTTTGCAGATGCCAACATTTCAGTGTCCTGTACAGAGGTACACTATTCAATGCTCCAAATGTTCTTGTTGAGTTGAAAATATAATCACTGAATCAAATTCAAGTGGCAAACAATTTTTTTCATGGAATTCTGAAGAATTTTTTTCCATAAAACACCCATTAAAAATTATATAATGTAAGTCTACGGGAAAACAAGACTCAACTTAGGGACAATTCAACTTAGGGATACTCTTGATTGACCAATCACGTCAGCATCTGGGGGTCTCACTGTATAACCTGGTTATAAGAAATTCTTCCATGCATCACAGTCGCGCAAAAATGGGACAGAAAAGCTTCAAGTGCCTACAATTCAAATCACTATTTTTCTCATGGCACCAAAAAAATAAAAATACAGCATCGAACCACTTCAAGTCGAATTTCAAGGACCAGCAAAAAAAAATTTTCTGCCATCAAGATAACATAAAAAAAGCATGATCGCATTTTTCGTCGGCTCATTCATTATTGAAGAGCGAAGGAAAATATTCCTTTAATCGAAGTTATGGTCCAGAAGTTTTCAACAACAAAAAATGGTCCCAACGACTTCTTCGTAATGAGATTTTACTATAGTTGTTCTGTTGTTTCACGAAGTGCCAATTTTTCCTGGATTCTGTAGCATTTTTTGATAATACGCGTCTCAACCCGTTTGGGATTAAAGGATTCAACTACAGTACTTCCAAATCATTCAATGAAATTCAAAACATCCCCTCCTGAAAATACTGGAAAATCAAGAACAAAACAAGCATTGAAAATACTTCTTTTCAAATGGAAAGTTTGATGAAAATCACTTTCGTCACAGATTCTTGTTCGGTTCTCGAGGGTCAGACAAAAATTCATGATTTCGCGAGTATTCTGTGCTAAAATATATATACACTGTACTAAAAAGTTTGTTAACAAATACACAACAGCTTATAATTTTCGATCGCTGAGAAGAATGGACGCATTCATTGATTTAAAAATAATTAATTCATTTATTTAAAAATAATTATTTCATTGATTTAAAAAATAATTAATTCATTGATTTAAAAATAATGATACGAATTTTATTGGTCGAGATTCTGATCCCTTTTAATTTAAATCACTTGCCCATAAACGATCAAATGCTCAGCCTTGCTAATCAAGTACCGTATTTGCTAATTACGAACCGCGGTTCGGATGAGAAAAACCGTTTCTTCCTCATAAAAACCCATTTAATCTTTTCACGATTCATCAAAGCCGTTCGCGGTTGTAATTCCGAGTCAGCTAATTAACAGACTTAATTTCCCGCTGTTCTCGTGATGAGTTGACATCCAGAATAAGTACCTTTCTCTGTTTTAAAGTCATTCCCCTGAGCATTTCATTTTTTCCAATTTTTGAACTCCTGTACAGGTACTACAGTAGTAAATTTTCTGGAAATGATTTCCTGTATGAATCAGGTGGAGAAAACAATGTACTCAAAATAAAAAAATTGGGCCTTTTAGTTTCTGGAGGAAAACTTGGTCCATGTCTGGAAATCATACATTTTTCCCCATTATTTTTTTATTTGGCTTTTCAACTTGAATTCCCAGCTTAATGTAAATGAATGAATGAACAGGAAGCTTTATTTTCCACCTTTCAGCGTTCACAAGGTTCAATCAAAATTAACACATCCAAACCCCCTTATTCTTACCCAACCTAAATCCATTCAAATGCATCCAATCCCTTCAGAATAGGAAACAGAGGAATAAGCTGTATATGGGTACCAAAATGAAAGAAAATACATTCCACAAAATACAACTGCACAACTGATGTGTATGCATACACCCACTTCTTTCCCTAACATTGAAAACAAAATATCAGTAACAAGAATTGCAGCATAAGCCAGAATTATGGCGATTGCAGCAGTTACTGAACCCAATTTAAAGCACAAGGTCTTCAGCGTGTTCCCAGATAAGGTTTAGTTGAATGAACAATTTAGAGAGAACCTTTGATGACTTAATGCTCTCCATGCTCTGGACTGTTCATAAGACTACACTATTTGTTCAAAAATTTCATAACATGTTCAACGGTTGAATATATTATCAATACTATACAGTTGAACCTCATGAAGTCAAATACCTCTCTATTTCGAAATTTTTTCATGCCTAGGTCTGAATTTTTTTCAGAAACAATGCCTTAAAAACGTCTCAAACTGTAGGCATCAATTTGTTCTAACGAGATTCCACTGTACAGTATTATGCATCCCATGAGGCTTTAAAATACAGTGCTAAATCAATCAACTTCGGGGAGTAAAAAAATCCATTTGGTTAATGGTTTATCGCCACGCAACAACAGCAAAAATCCCAATGCATTGAAACAGCTTGGGTCTCTTAACCAAGACACAACTGCACAGTACAGCAAGATCCCCACATGTGACAGAATAATTTTGTACTTTAATATACTACTGTACCTGCACACTGGCTGCAGTTAGATGGCAGCCATATTAATTGAATGCTAGAGATTTAAATCTGTACCCTTCAAGGGTTTTTACGATTTAGGTGTGCAGAAGTACAGACTACAAAAATATTTGTGTGGCTCTTGCTCTTGTGTGTGTGTGTGAGATTGTGAAGGTTATCTCTTTTTATCTTTTAATCCATTGTGTTGTGTGATTGATTTTGTGATCTATGAATCAATTTGGGGTTAAAGCAATTTGAAATACATCTTTATCTTTTTTCTCTTTGGGAGCTCATAAAAGAGATCCCCAGCTGAACCCCACAACTGATTCTGGTGTTTCATTTCCAAAATTCCGCCTTTTTGTGACATTTCAGCCACACAAAAATTGGTAGCAGAGCGTGGTTTTGATCCACGGACCTCTGGGTTGCGGACACCTCAACCTGCAGACAATTTGACTTAAAGACATTTATTTTCCCATAAAAAATTGATACAAAAAAGGCGTGATATGAGGACACTGACTTGACATGGAATGGAATTATTTTCATGGAATTATGGTGAGTACAGTATTTTGTACATGGAACACGAATTAAAAATTATACAATGTAAGTCTAAGGGAAAATGAGACTTGAGTTAGGGACACTCTTGATGCACCAATTACGTCCACATCTTGGGGTCTCACTGTACATAAAATAACCTCACACTATTTCTTATTCATCAAAGAGAGGTAATGAAAGAAAAAAAACTGAGCAGCATACTTACATGTACATTGGCTTGTCCTCCGAGCATTTTCACCAGGCCGGATATGAAATCGTTGATGTCGGGTTCAGCCCTTCGGTTGCTTTTCCTCAAGTCTTTGTTGGTGACATTGACGGGAACAACGGGGGAACTCGACATTGGCACTTTTTGCACCTTCTTGGTGTCATTCTTTGGCTCCAAAATCACCTTGATTTCGTGGGCGGCGAAAGAAAAACATAGGAAAAATAATATTAATTTCAGAGGAAAAATGGGAAATTCTCAGAATTTCCTCGTCGTCGGGGAATTTTCTTCCCCGAGGCAGAGAGGACGAGAACGAGGACATTTATAAAGAGATTCTGGAAGAAAGAAACCATGAATATCAAATCTTTCAGTACCGGTTTTTTTTTTAATCAGTAGCGATTCCAAAGATGGATACGGTACTCGTTTAAAAAAAAAACATTTTTATAAATTTTATCATGCGTCGTCTTCTGGAACAATATAGGGAAAATACTGAACGCCAAAAGAAAAACCAAACAAACTTTCTTCCAGAATTATTCCACACAAAAAACTTTGCAGAAGAATTCTCGGAAAATCCCTCGTTGATGCAAATTTTTTAAAATTTTACATAATTTAGGAGCTGCTTGAATACATAAACGGTTCTCAAATTAAAAAAAATGCATGCGTATTTTCGAATTAGGAAGAAAGCTCGACAAAAGTTTTTTTTTTCTTTCAAAAAATCGCAGTTCGTTGGAATTTTTTTCAATAATAGTACGCCTTCAACTTATTTCGCAGAAAAAGACGAGCAAATAAACCACAGTAAAAAAATCCACGAATTTTTCTGCTGTCGGGGAATTTTCGTCAGAAGCAAAAAGGAGAAAACAAGATATTTTAAGAAAATATTCTAGAAGAAAGGAACCATAAATGTCGTATCTTCCAGTACCCGTAAATACTCGTGAAAAGGAGTAATTTTTCAAGGATTTTTATTAATATACTCAATCTGTTGGACTTCACGGAAGAAAAGTAAAAAAATATATATTCGAAAAACCATAAGCTTCCAACAAAAAAAAAACGATATAAGCTCAATAGAAAATCACTCGTCGATTGAAGAATTTCCAAAATTGTACATAATTTGAGAACTGATTAAATTGACCAAAGGTTCGAAGAAAAAAAATAATAAATAATCATGGTAATTTTCGTTCCACAAATTACTGTATTCGAAGTGCTAATGTGGTCATTACCTGACGACCGAATGCCGGCAAATCAACCAGCAATTCCGGCCACTGGTCAATTTCATTCGGAGTATTGCCTCTAGTTCGCGGTTTCCGCATTCCGGAAGACGCCTTTTCCGAAAAGGACGCCGTGGCGCCGGTGTCTGGAACCAACCGGGTCAACACGACGACCAGGAAGGACGCCACCGACAACCTCATCCCACTGGCTTCTGTGAACAGACAAATTTTTCTAAAATTAGACAAAAATTTTTAGTGAATCAGCTCTCAATAACTCATGCAAAAAGAACACTCCAAAGAATGCATTATAATCTTTCAAAGCTTGGTTGAAAAAAATAATTTGCACGGATGATAAGTACAGTATTCAAATCCACCAAAATAGTCCTACAGTGAGGAAATTGAAACGAAAATTTATAATTTCGATTTGAATTCTTGCACAACGTAATGAGAGAAGAAATCCACAAAACTGTGAGGAGAACCATGTTCCAAAATAAAATACAGTGAGACCCCCACATGCGGACAATTCAACATGCAGACAATTCGACATAGGGACACTTATTTTCCCATAAAAAAATATATAAAAAAGGCCCAAGATGAGGACACTGACTTGACATAGGGACATTTTGTCATAAAATTACAAATAAGTTTCAGGCCAAATTACAAGAAACAGATATTTCCAACGCTAAAATTGATCTAAGAAAAATCCTTGGCATTTGTCTCCCCATTTTACCACCCATTTAGCTAATTTAAAAAAAAAATTACCTCCAGCATAGAGGGACTTCCTTCTCTCATTTTCAATTGAATGTTACTTTTTACAGAGAATGCCAACATTTCTATGTACCGTATAAAAGGTATCAGTATTCAATTCCCCAGATGTCCATATTGTTTTGAAATATATTGATTGAATCAGTTTAAATTAGGAGACAATTTTTATTTCCATGGAAGTGTGGTGAGTATTTTGTCCATAAAACACCAATGAAAACTTATATAATGTAAGTCTAAGGGAACATGAGACTCAACTTAGGGACATTTCGACTTAGGGACACTCTTGATGCACCAATTACGTCCGCATCTCGGGGTCTCACTGTAACTAAATCATCAGACAGGAAATTAATACGAAAATTTAAAATTTCGACTAGAATTCTTGCACAGCATAATGAGCGGTTAAATCCACAAAATTTTCAGAAAAACCTCGAGGTCCAGGTTTTTAGTAAAAATAAAATCAAGAATAACCTTAACAAAAAAACTATCAATTTTGCCAGCAGCATTTTACAATTAAATTGGACAACGAATTGTCTGCCTGGGTAACACCAACTTAAATCTACAAAAAAGGGCGTAAATATATTTTTGAAAAGCGAATGAGCATTTTTAAATTTCAAAAGAAAATTAAATCAGTACAGACCTAAGGACATGAAATAAAAAATACAATAATAAATCTTTATAAAAAATAATTTCCATCACTGGAAGAATCTGATGGGTTCAGAAAATATCGGGCACCTTAAAATATTTTTTCAAAGTTACGTTTTCACATCCATTTATGCAAAAATGATTCATTCCTAGATTTTTGAAATAATTAGACATTTCTTCCGAAAATGGATTCATAAATTTACAATTCGTTCAGGATAATCAGGACACAAACTGCGTCCCACTTTGATTGGTTGCAATGCCCGGATGAATTTCCATTTCAAAAGGTTTCTCGATACGGAAACTATTCGTAACCACTGGACCGATTTCAATGATTTCCCCTCATCTACAGTACTTTATTTTATTTTTATTTTTTTGCTTCTCAAACATACGTTTCGATAAACACTTCCGACTGCTGAAATCAGAAAAGCAGGAGGAACCATTTTTCCCTGGCTTCAAGTTCGACTCGCATTCTCGTATATAAATTGAAATTGTGAAAAGGTCATTGAACCTTCTTCGCGACGAAAAGGAAGTTAAAATTGTTTCCTTTCAACACAGCAGCCGTGTGAATAATCCAATCATGAATGAAATTGAAAAACTGAACTGAAAATGAATGAAAAATAAATAAATAAATGATGCAAGACGCGAACCACGTTTCTTTCAAGAATTAAAAGTCCCCGAATCCCGCTCCATGACAATGGTACGTTTTTTTTTTCCTACAACACCTGATTATCCGAGGGTTGGTTCAAAAGTTTTGAGACTTTTTGAATTAGATCCGACGGAGTTGGAACAATTCAAGTTTTTTTTTTTTTGCCTTGCAAATGGCCTCATTATTCGGCAACACTTCAGTAATGTTTGAAATACTCTCCGCCGATTTCAATGCATTTCTTCAAGCGATTAATCCTGCTGTTCTTGTGATGATTTAACGTTTAGAGTAAATTATCCTACCTTTTTTCAAGGTCAATGCCCGTGAAAATTCACTGTTTCGACCTTTCAAGTCCCTGTTAATTTCCTGGAAATTATTTGCTGTACGAGGGTTGGCTCATAATTTTTGAGACTTTTTGAGTAGATCCAACGGAGTTTCAACAATTCCAAATCCTTCTCTTTTTTTTTAAATCTCATAGCCCTATCGTTTGGCAACACTTAAAAGCTGTTCAACATACTCTCCCCCGATTTGAATGGCTCAAAACAGTGCCGAAAATCGTGTTCACTGTTTTGGCACTGTTTCAATCGTAGGATTTATCGCACGATAAAATGCATAGAAATCGGTGGAGAGTAGGTTGTAAAGCACTGAAGTGTTGCCAAATGATAGGGCTTTGAGAGTAAAAAAAAAAAATAGAAGAATTTGGAATTCTTGAAACTCCGTTGGATAGTCTCAAAACTTATGAGCCAACCCTCGTAAAGCAAATCATTTCCAAGAAAATTTACAGGGACTTGAAAGGTCGTAGCAGTGAATTTTCAAGGGCATTGGCCTTTAAAACAAGGTACGATAATTTACTCTTTACGTCAAATCGTTACAAGAACAGCGGGATTTATCGCTTGAAGAAATGCATTGAAATCGGCGGAGAGTGTGTTAAACATTACAGCAAATCATTTCCAGGAAATTTACAGGGACTTGAAATGTCGAAACAGTAAATTTTCAAGGGCATTGGCCTTTAAAACAAGGTACGATAATCTACTCTTGACGTCAAATCATCACAAGAACAATGAGAAACTGAACGAAACACAGGACTGAAATTAAGTACAGTAATATAATTAGCTGATAATTTCGGAATTAAATCCGAGAACGACTTTGATGAATTGTGAACAGGGTTTAATCACGATTATTTTTCCTCGTTCTTTTTGTTTCATTTAAAAATGGCCAAGGAACGATTTCATGCAATGGATTAAAACTCTAAATAAAATTTAAAAAAAATGTTCACAGTAAATCAATTATATTGAAAATTGCCCAATGAAGACCTCATCGTATTGACTAACAATTTCTAATTGAATCTCCAGCAATAAATACAAATAAATGATCAAGAATTGACAATTTTTTCCATCCCAAATAAGCTCTTTATACAGTATATGGTTAGTCATCAGAAATTTCCGGAATCCCTTTTTGGACTAAACTAATGAAAATAAATTTTACGAAGAGAATAGATCGATGAAGAAATTTTGAATGACAATTGTTAATTGAATCTCCAGCAATAAATACAAATAAATGGTCAAGAATTGACGATTTTCCCCCATCCCAAATAAGCACTCTATACATTAAATGGTTAGTCATAAGAAATTTCCGGAATCCCTTTCTACACTAAACTAATGAAAATAAATTTCACGAAGAAAATATAGCGATGGAGAAATTTCATCAAGGCATTTTAAATACAGTAGTTTCAAAAGATGTTCTATTATCTGGGTTCTTTGATGCAGCAAAAAAAAAGACGATTTAACATCACAGGTTGAAGCTCCTATTTTTGCAAAAATTCTCGAATGAAATAAATTTCGAGAAAAATTGTAAAATCCAGGTTAATTTCGTTTCGAGGCAATTTGATTTAAAAAGGTCGCTGATTAACGGATATTTTTTCTCCGAAGAACTTGAAGCTTCTATTCGGAATAATTGGAATAGGAAAAATAAAATACGTAGTACAGTACCGGAAATTCTAAGGAATGGAATGACGAAATATAAATTCCTCGAGAAGTCGTTGAGGACGTTACTGATTAGTTCAGGTTTTTATTTTTTCCTGACCTAATACTTCGTTCATGAATGAGGTCAAAGAACGAATAATTTCCACGGATGAAAACTTGGCACGCCTAACAAAAATGTCAGTTCGCATTAGCGTATCAAAATAAATCAACGAAAAATTGTCGAAGTCATGCTTCTTTTTTTGTTTTGGTTTTGGTTCACATCATGAAACGTTTCAAAGCCACGGAATCAAACTGCCAGCAATTTCATCCCTCCCTTTTTATATACTCATCATCATCATGAAGTCCCAGGAATTGTATTCGCTACTTTTAGTAGAAGAAAAAGTTCCCACCCTTTTTTTTTTTATTGGAACAATAAAAAATGTTTCATCGCCCGAATTCGAAATGAGGGGAGTTCGTTCTTGGGCAAATGATTTTGCCTTTTTTATCCCTCCCACTTTCGATACAGAAATGTGGTCGGAGATTTCACGAAAAACAGTTCAATAAAACTCGGGAATTTTTTTTTCACGGAGGGTCTGCGAAAGAAATTGCAGACCCTCCCGAAAGATTTCGGGCGAAAACCTCGCTTGAAAAAATTGTTCATTGACAAAAAGTGCTCGCATTACAAATTTGTGACACATTTGAACAAATTTTCCAGAAAAAAATAAATTGGATGCATTTCATCAAGTTAAAACTTTTTAAAAATGTTCGTCAAGACAAGTCAAGCATTGCAAAAGAATACCAGAGAAATCGTGGCATAATTCGGGCACTGAAAACGCTTGAGTATTTTTTATGAATAGCGTGTGACACATGTAAACACATTTTCCAGAAAAAATAAATTGAATGCATTCCCGTGCTTTACAACGTTTTTAAAAGGTTTGTCAAGAAAAGTCAAGCATTCAAAAAGAAGACCAGAGAAATCATGGCAAAATTCAGGCACTAAAACTTTCGAGAATTGTTTGTCATGATTAATTTATGACACACGTATTCCATAAAAATAAATTGCATGCATTTCAGTGATTCATATCCTCTTAAAACTGTTTATCAAGACAAGTCAAGCATTGAAAAGGAAAAACAAAGAAATCACGTCATCATTCAGGCACTAAAAGCGTTCGAGAATGTTCTTTTCACGACTAATTTGTGA